TTGCATACAGAGGGCAACACAAAACAAGAAAAGCTAACCTTGTGAGAAGAGGGAGAGTACCTTATCAGAACTTACTCATTCATAGTCAATATTGCTACATTATACATACAGTAATTTACTTAATATTTGTGAGAATTTTGGGGTTTTTACATTGAAACTTGTTTCATGAATTCTAACTTTCACAGAAAAATGAAATTGAAAATGCATCAATTTTCCATTAGATAAGTTTAGAAAAAGGTTTTTAGACATCATTCTGTTTTTCTAAGCAACATTTTTCATACCATAAGCCTTTGCAATCACACTTTGCAACTGAACTGACATGTTAGTAATCCACCTATTGAAAGTAATGAACTTGTCTTGGAGCGTTACGTCAGGAGCTGCAGGTACTTAACTCTCTCAACATGGGCTAGATCAATTTGACCAGCCACATGACCTCTTTGTACTCGTATAAAGTCTTTATAGATTTGATACTACTAACTTTTAATATAGTGTGTATATCTTCACAAAATTTGCCAGTCTTTCAATAATCATTAAAAGTCTTTCACATACAAAAAATCACTTTTTTTGTGAAGTATTTTAAATAAACTAAAAAAAGATGTGTCTGTGAATATATCGAGTATTTGTTTTGAATAGTCCGTGTGCAAAGTGATTTTCATGTTAACATGAAAAATATTTTTCATCTCAAAAATCTCAGCTTTGATTTGTGTTATGTGTAAAACCTCAAAAATACATTTTAAAAGTTTGTTTTCAGTAAAACTTTATCTTATCTGTGATTTTTTAATTAATCCAAGGTTGTTCAGCTTAAGGGATAACTTTGAGGGTTTTGCTTTCCTTATTTATAATAATGATATCTATAGGAGCATAATTAGTATATTGGTAGTTTTCTGATGACATTACTCTTCGGTACTTCTACCAGCATTGAATATTACAGAATGACTTAGATGAATTAGTAATTTGGACAAACGGTTGGTAAATCACCATTACTGTATTTTACAGCATATAAGACACACCCATATTTTAGCAAAGAATATTTAGGAAAAACATCCGAGTGTATCAAAGCATTTAATGTTTACCCCAAATAATATCTGCATATCAAGAAAAACTTATTTCAATAAATATATCATACATGCAACATATTAAGTGAAATTTCTGTCCTTCAGTGGAATTCTTATAATCAATAGAAAGAGCAGAATGCAACTTTAGTCTCTCCAGAGTAATAAAATGTAACTAACAGATTATTTTTTAAATGACAAGCATATTCCCATTGGTGTTCAATGTGGATATCAGTGTTCCTAGCGAGTAAACTGTACTGACCTGATGTAGCAGTAATGGAAAAGGCTAGGGTGTCTTTTGCACATCAGTAGTTTAGAACTGTTGTACATTGCAAATAGGAACTGCAGTATACAGCAGTGTTCATGTGAATTCAGAAATGCTTACTGCTCACCTATACTGATGCTAATTGTCTTGGATTATTATTATCTATTATAAATCTACTAGTATATTTAGCAAATTTTTTTCATCAATTATAAGCCTAATCATATATTTTTGTATAAATATATATTTATATTTTAACCTACAGTTGTCTGAGAAAAGACTAGGTAGAATTTAGCTTATGGGGGCAAAACTGAGAGATGCATTTTCTTTAACTACGCATATAGGACGCAGAATGATTTTAGAGACTTTTTTCAGGAAAAAACATGCATTTTGTACATCCTAAAATACAGTAATTATAATAGTACAAGGATATCATAAATTGCATCGAACATTTAATAACTGGAAAAAAAAAAATCTTGACAAAGCAGATGTAATGACACAAATTTAAGATTTGGAAAATCCAGGCTAGGCTCTAGTTAGAAGTGACTGGCTTAGGAAATGAGTTACGATCAGCAATAATTAAGGCCAGCAATTTATAAAAGTTATGAGATGAATCAAAGATTTCCTGAAAGATAAGGGCTGGCCTAAATTTTCACTTTGCTTGGGGGTAAGTATGAAGAGATGGCTTGAAAAACCAAAATATCCTTTCTTGTCAGTGTGTTGTGTTTTTAGTTTAAAGGTAAGAGAGACTTGGTTTATTCAACCAAATGCTGACCTATCTCTTTCATTATGGTCTATTATCTTACTTTTTCATTAATTATGGAAATCACTAAGTCTTTTGACTCATCAAAAATGTATTGATTAATTACTAATATACCACAAGAAAAGAAAATTACCACCAATCCATCCCTGATATCTCAAATTCTCAAAAAACTTTTTCTTAAATTCCTGTCAAGTTGCAGTCTTCATAACATTACAAGGTAAATTCATCCACAGATTTACTACCCTGTTAGAGAAGTAAAACTTCCTTACATACGGATGTTTCAGATTTTATCAAACCTTAAACATATCTCTTGTCCCATTGCCATCAAAAATCTAAATACTGGCACAAAAATATCTTATTTATTTACTTAATCATTTTGGATGTTTCATTTTGACCAACCACGACCCTTCATTTTCTCTGGAGGAAAAATTTAAAGATATTAATCTATTCTCATATGATGATCCACCCATCCTCAGAATCACCATGATAGCTTTCATTTGAATCTTTTGCTACAACTTGATGCCTTTCCCAAGACATGGGAACCAAAACTGCACACAGTATTCCAATTTAAGTCCAGATGAGACCCAACTAGTTACATATTCAATGAAACCATGATCTCTTCAGAAGATGAAGTCAATATTACTATATTATATATACTGTAATTTACTTAATATTTGTGGCAATTATCTTTTGGGGTTTATTTCACTGAAACTTTTTTCATGGGTTCTAACTTTCACAGAAAAATGAAATTGAAAATGCATCAATTTTCCATTAGATAAATTTAGAAAAAGATTTTTAGACATCATTCTGTTTTTCTAAGCAACATTTTTCATGCTATAAGCCTTTGCAATCACACTTTGCAACTGAACTGACGTGTTGTTAATCTACCTATTGAAAGTAATGAACTTGTCTTGGAGCATTACGTGAGCTGCAGGTACTTAACTCTCTCAACATGGGCTAGATCAATTTGACCAACCACATGACCTCTTTGTAATCGTATAAAGTCCTTATAGATTTGATACTACTAACTTTTAATATAGTATGTATATCTTCACAAAATTTGGCAAAATTAATAGTCACAACTTCATTATGTACCCCTCTCAAAATGTCTTTGTGGAAATTGATAAAATCAACCAATCCTTCCAAAATCAGCAGACTCCCAAACTCAAAACACTGTGACACAGAACATGAAGTGCACACCACAGGCTGCTACCAACAAATTAATGGGCACAAATCCATGAAAAGGAAAGTGTGGCAAATACTATAATTACAACAATGAGATCAGAGCTCAGAAAAGCACTTGAGATGGATGTTGCATGCACAGTTTAGAAGATCCAAGCCGAGCTAGGAAAGCCAATCAAAGAAAGCACTGTCTAAAGCATAAAAGCAGCATTCTTGAGACAACTAAATCTACTCCAAAGAGAGAAGTATGGCATATTGGTGAGAGATTGGATAAGGAAGGTCCAGCTCAACACCAGAGTGATCAACCAACGAATCATCATGGCAGTTACTTAAGGAATTTTGCTCAGCCATGAGAAAATTTTGCTTACGCAGTTTGGAAAGATGCTTCACATTACTGAATTTTAGGCAAAGTCACTTCTTACTTGCCTTAGCTATGTGAAGTAGAAAGAAAAGTAAAAATCCCCTTATGATTTTCCTATGAACCAGGCAGAGTTTGTCAGACAAGTTACAGGCATTATCATTTATCACTCATAAAGCCTTTTTATTTTCCTGGAACTATCATTCATAGAAATGTACATACCATGAAAACAGCAAAAGTTAATTCTATGCAAATAGTAAGTAATTTACAGTAATAGTGCACCATATTGTGCAAAGACTAATTTCAATAATGCACACTAAGTCAGTGAGAATGTCAATGTTTCCACTAACTTGTAATCCATTATCCTATTGACTATACCAGTAGTTTTAAACTTCTTTGTTTGTGGATTGCCCAAATTGTGGGGGTTACATAATAACATTATAAATGAACAAATCAAAATAAACATATAAAAATCACTGTAACATTAACCAAAGGTTTTCCTTTCTACATTTCATATAAGAGATGTGTCTGTTTATGTGAACAAAGTTCTGTAACAGCAGGTAGGTCATTATTTTACAATATGCAAGAACTCTCAAGTAAAGAAAATATATTCCTAGTTTTCTAGTTTTACTTACAAGTCATATAACATAGTTTTAGTTTTAGACTTTTCAACTTAATTTATACATATCATTCCTGATTATACAGATTTAGGTATCAAGTGTCGAGTTTGCTGCTGGATTTACAAACGTTTTTCTTTTTTGGTAATTATGAACTACTGATCACATTTTGGGAACACTTAGATGAGTGGTGCAGACACCAGTTGCAAAGTGTGGGTGCTTGGCTAGACATGCAGATTTCACAATGAGAAATTAAAAGTAAAAGGAACTGCCAAATGCAGCTCAATATGGTGGGTCTGGGGGTATGCCCCCCATAAAATCAATATAACTTACACACACACAGTTGCTATAAAAGTCTAATAATAATATGTAAAAGTGGGGTGCTACAGCACCGCCAGTTCGACGCCTCTGTACACTATAATATTACTAGTATTACTAATACATTTACTGATTTAGCAATTGCATAGTACATTATTGTACCAGAAAGAGTAAAACTTACTAACAGTATTAACAAGTTACTAAATTAGTACTACCCACTACCTAACGGTACTAAATCACCACTTGGATTCTAAGTTAGAAATAGAGAAGACCTTCAACTAAGTTCAAGTTCATGAAGTAGTTCAACTTGAACAAGCTTAACTTAAGTTGTACTTGTAAATGAAGTTGTACTGAACAAGGCGTAAATAGAAAAATTAGGTACAAATATATTTTCCTTCAGTTTCACTTCTTCTATCAGATACTCCAACATTTCAAACGTGATGCTTACTTTTATTCTAGAATTATTTATCTTTACCCACGTATTTTCTGAAATAACATCATCTTCCCGATCTTCGTAAAAAACTTCGTTATTTCGAACTAACGCCATTTGCCATTCAGCTTGATATTTGCTATTACAGTATAAGCGTCGCGGCGCGAACAGTTTCTCAGTCAATAAATGGAAATAATTTCTTACTTAACTTAGAGATGGTAAAACCGATTTCCCTGCAAAAATCAGATAGGCAAACTCGCAAATAACAGTAGATTACTATGAAGATATAAGGGTAATGTTCTATAGAATGAATTTCTTTAAGTATGAAATAACAAGTCTAGACAAATGTAAATAAATGAACAAAGTACTTTAGTATAACAAATATATATAGAAAGCATATTGTTACGTCTCCGTTCGTTAGTT